CAGGCACCCTTAGAAACCAGGAAGATGACTACATGAACTTTCAGAGCAGCACCTGTAGGTAGAGCCCCTCATTTGTACATTCAGCCAGCTTTTTTTCTTTCTTTCTTTTTTTGGAGGATGTCTGTGCCAAGCTGTGTATTAGGCACTGGGAATACAAAAGATCACAGAAGGGCCACTTTTTATCAGGGAAACCTGCCCAGAAACGGAAAATCATAAAACTGTGCCCTAAGTGCAGTGGTCAGAGAGAGGCATAGGGAAATACAAGAGTGAGAGAGGGGCGTGGGCAGGGAATTCTCCTTGGAAGAGGTGGGGAAAATATGCCAAAGATCCAGGACTTGGTTTTGGAATCAGGGTGAATCAACCTAAAAATGCTTTTTGGTCTCCAATAACAGAAGACTTGGCTCCAACTGACTTCAGAAATAATTTATTTTCTCATATAACTGGAAGTCCAAGAGAAGGATGTCTGATAGGGAGGTTCACCAGGTCTGCAGGACTGAGATTCCATTTCTCTGCCCTTTCTTCCACTCTGCTTTCCTCCCATGGTCAGCTTCTTTCTTAGGCTGGCTTCCCTCGTGGAAACAAAACAGCTGCAGCAGATCCAGGCCAACATCTGCACACCACACGTCCAGGTGACCTCATGTTGCAAGCAAAGCTTTGGACATTCACTCTACTGGACTGGCTCCATTCACGTGCCTGTTCCTGGTCCAGTCACTGCAGCCAGGGGCCTGGAACACACCGACCCTCTACGGGTAGCATCCGACGTTTGGAATGGAGAAGTGGATGAGGCCAGCATATACCTGCTCTTCATGGACAGCAGAATGCTCAGCTGAGTTTGCTGAAGTGTTCATCGGCATACCCTGGCATTGGTTACGGCTCGAAGAAGCTCCTGAGTCTTCAGTAATGAGTCTTATGACCAAGTATGGAGAGAGGAGGATCCCAGCTTTGGAAAACCAAGAGGAAAAAGTCTGTTCTTAAAAGAAAGAAGTCATATCAGCCTTCATCATACCTTGACTTCTGGAATACATTAAACCAGAGCCTCACTTGGCTTGGCCTGACACCCCATCTTGCAGGAGAAGGGAGGCAGTAGTGCATCACTTAGGATAGCCTATGTTATCCCGCAGTACAAAGAACCCCCAAACCTCATTGGCTTAACACAAGTGCACTGTGAGCCCGGGTGAGCCTCTAGGGCGATGGTCCTCCATGTGATGACTCAGGGATTCAGGCAGAAGGAGTCTCCACCATCCTGTAACTGCACTCCTGGAATGGACAGCCCCCTGGATCAGAACAGGGAGGGAAGAGCCAGCTGGAGACTCAGACCCTGGAAGATAAATGCCTCCACGTGGATGGAAGTGACACCCAGCTCTTTTGCTCACCTTCCATTGACTAGAACATGGCCACGCCTAACGGCAAGGGACAGGTGAGTGCAGTCTGTGCCCAGAATTAGAGGAGGGCTGGACACCAAGGGATGTGGAAATGCCTGCTACGGGGGAATTCCTGGGTTCCTCAAGCCGGAGCAGAGAGCTGCGCCAGTGCCTCGCCTGCCTCCTTGCCTTTAACCAGTCTTCTCTGATTCCGGCTGCCACACGCAGGAGCTTGTTTCCAGAGGGGGAGGAGACTGGCAATGGAAAGATTAGCCGCTCCCTGGGTTCCACACGGGGATCAGTATTTTCAATAGTACTTTGTGAGTTCAGCCTCAAAGTAAATGGTTAATTCATCTTGTATCAACAGCACTGTGATTCATAATGTAAACTTGGAGAATCCTTGATGTTTCGGGCCCACATTCCTTTTAATTTGGCTCTGCATTCTTTTAAAGCCACAGCGAGCTCACTTAATAGAATGCAGCATGCAAATGCACAAGTTTTTGCCTGGAGGCAATTTAGCCTGGCTGTTTCAATGGATGTCTTCTTTCAAGTGTATATTCTTTCTTAAATTATTTACTGGGTAAACACACTTTGCATTTTCAAAAGGGAGATTAAGACTGCTTGCTGCAGACCTAGTTGAACTTAAAGCCTCCCCCCACCCCCCCAACCCTGTCCAAAGTTAGATGGAAGTTCCTTTGGGCTTCCCCCAAAGTTCCTACTCAGTCTCACTAGCTGGGAGCCCAGCTTCCCGGCTTGTGGTTCTGATTCTCTCTGGACTCTGCATTCCTTTCTGCTTTGCCTACAGTCATACCTGCCAGCTGTCCCTGGCTGTGACTGTACTCCAGGCCTCCTCACACATGGGCGCACCAATACCAGCCTTTGATTCCCCCTCCAGGCTGGCTCGGTCTTGTCTACTCAAGGGACCCAACAGCTCACTTCTCTGGTCCTTGGAGACACGGTATCTGCCCGACAGCTTTGAGATCCAAAGCTGGGTTGGTGTCTGACCAGAATCAAACTTACATCCAATTCTATCAACTCCAGCCTTTTGGGGTTTTGTTTGCTTGTTTGCTTTGCGCTTCTACACCCTTCGCCCCAGATGTCTCCCAGTCTTTGGTTTGTCTCCTGCCGACCTCCTCCATCGCCAGCATGTGCCTCAGTTCCATGTGGACCATTCCTTCTCCTAGCTTCGGGGAGAAGGCCCAGAGCCGCCGTGAGAAGGCACAGTGTCCAGTGTTCCGTCTTTGGGGGGCTTATATCAGCTTTTAATTTCAGCCTTTTCTACACAGACTCCCTGAGATTTTCCTACCAATTAAATTCGTACAGATTTCTTTTCCACTCTCCCTCGAATAGAATGATTACAATTCCCGGGGCTGCGTTCTTTCATTGTCATCCTTTGGACAGTCCTCCTGGGAGCCTATGTGCCAGGAGCCCTGCCACTAGCTGGGGCCGGAGACGGGAAGGCTCCTGGCTCTGCAGCCGCACCAAGGTCTTTCTGAACATCTGGGACCCAGCGGTGTCCTTGAGATCAGGTGTGTGTGTGTGTTGAGTGAGTTAAAGATACAGGCTGTTGGGAAAAATCATGGGTGAAACCCACTCCTCTTTGCCTTGCTTGAGGTGAGGGGAAGGACCAGAAGAGCTGAGGACTTAGGGATTCCTGTGCGTTCCTTTTTCTAACCGTGCTTCAGATTAAACAAGTAACACCCACAGTTAATCCTTTATAAATTAGCATCATGGATGCCTTGGGGCCCTCAACCCACAAATAAAACGGTTGTCAACACAGAGACACACTACCGTATATTACTTAAGGCAGAATTTTAAAGAATTTTCATGCTTTTAATGTGCTTCACTGCAGAGTTTCAATTTTGCTGATTTCCTTTGCAAGGCTGATGCGGGAGACTGTGGTAAATAGAGATTTTGACAGTGACTTGGGCAAACGGGATGTTTAGGGCTGTGCTGAAGACTTCTGCCCCTTCCAGAGAAAAGGGTCAAAAATCAATTTGGGTTTTAAATCAAGCCACCAAGTAGCACCGATCAGTGTTCGTAATTAGCCTCACTTTAACAAGCCGTGAAGTACCGTTTTTACTTATTTATTTTGGCGACAAAGAATCTTCCCGGCTCCTGAGTAAATATGGTCTGTTAAGTCTGAATTAGCTGTCATCGCAGAAGAATTAATGTCAGGGCGCCGCCTTTCTAGTGGGAAAGGGAAGCAACAAACGAGACAGATCTTAGCTGAGCCTTACGTGATAAATGAGGACCGAGCGGATCATTCATCTCCTTCAAGGAAGGTGGACACAGGCACTAAAGCAGTTTTGCGGAAGACGTGTCAGCAAATGTGATCATTTTGTAACCTGTCAGGAGGAGGGGGAGCTAGTCCTTCCAGGGGGGCCACCAGGGGAGTGGGCTTGTCTGATATGACCGGCTCCATCCATCCATTTAGGTTTGGGGAAGAAGGGGGTGGGCAGGAAGAATCCGGCCGACACCATGAGGATGTTGTCATCCCTCCAAGAAAGAAACTCATCCAGAAGCTGGGAAAAGCTGCGAACACCCTGCAAAGGTTTCTTCTCGAAGATATGAAGCAGGAGGGCGGGGTCCCTGGTCAACTGGGGGCCTGGCTGGGCCCTCTGAGCTCCTCCTGTGGAAGGCCCCGTCAGCAGACCTTCTCCTGCTTGGTATTTGGAGGACGGGCAGATGGGGTTTGCGGTGGGGTCTCAGCTGGGTGGAGGACTCTGCCTCTGTTTCTGTGTGGTTGGTCCTGTTGGGGGCCGGAGTGGGTGAGGCCGTTGGATCTAGCTTGCCTTGCCTGACGTCCGACCTCTTTTCTCAGAACGAGGTAGCAAATTATGAAACAGCCTCATCAGAAGCCTCTGCTGACATCCCGGGGCGCGCGTCTCCACTCTGGTTCTCCTTCTGAGTTCCCAGTTCCCCTTCCGCATCTGGCAGAGCCAGAGCAGAGGGGTTTGGAATCCCTGGAGGTGAGGGTCCATCAACCAAAGCCCACGAATCACCTGGGTATTTTGTATTATTTCTCATTTCCATCTTTTTTTTTTTTTTTTTTTTGTCCACGGAGCATATGTAACGTTTCCTCCTGGCGTAGCGGAGTGCGAGCCCCAGTGACAGATGATGGTTTCACAGCCTGAGCTGCAAGTTTGACACTTGCTTCTTAATCCTGTCCTTTTCTTCCTAAGTCTTTTACTTTTCCCTGGGTATTTTTGTACAGGTGAGTACCTTACTGACATATGTTTCCTTGGAGTCTCTCACTTTCATGGGAAACACTGCAAAAAAAGGAGGCTTGTCCAACACGTTGAATTAAAAAGAGAAGCTCGCATGGGGCCCTTGATCGCTTAAGGATTACTACATGGTACTCGGAGACCAGAAAGTCATCTGATTCGCTGTGGCTCCGCAGTAAGCCTTTCTCTGGGTGCCGCGTGGCCGTCACCGTGGGGTCGTTCGTTTGCTGGTGAATCATTTGTAGAACCACAAAGCTGCATGGTGTCACGTACACCCCCCACACGGGGTTCCCCACCCCCACCTACGATGCAAAGCCTCCATCTGATTCGCCAACTTTGTCTTGGCTGATCTTTGTGACCGTGTCCTCTGTTTATCCGTGTGAATTGTTTTTCCTCCTTTGCTCTCTCCTAGAATCATCCAGAACCGCATCCTGATCGTCATCCTGGCTGTCATCCTGGTCATCACCATCCTGATGGCGATCACTTTCTCGGTCAGGAGACACTGATGTATCTGCTCTTCCCTGATAAACAGCAACAACGGCTCGTTCTGAGTAATTAAGACAAAATGGTCACATGAATCATTCTTTTGCACTGACAGGCCCTGAATGACCCCCGTGCGCACTCACCACTGTTCAGCTGAAGGGCAAAGAGTGTAAAAATATTTTCTATTCCTGTCTGCATGTGGGTTGGTTTCCTTTTCTAGATTTGTCTTCACCCAGATTTTTTTTTAATAGGGGAAGGCAAATGTTTATTTGCCTTTTGGTAATTTCATCTACTGACCAAAATAGCCTTGGAGACATTCTTGCTTGCCCTGTGGACCTGTCGGGTCATGGTTTGGGAGAGGCCATGATCTGGCAGTCAAGGGAGCTTCTGATGGGCTGTGCTGTTTGTCACACACCTCTTGTCACTGAACAGCCCTTCTGTGATGTGTGAGGATAAAAAAAATGCAGAGAAAAGCAAGGGCCAGAGCAGTGACCAGACCTGTTCCTACCGAGGCGTGATGACCACGGTCAACCTGCCTGTGTGCGCTCATTGTAAAGGTGGATATTTAGCATCGGTTGTGCCGGAAATTGACTTAGCACTTTCCCTGTCTTTCTATGCATATTTTTTTTAACTCAAAAGTATTTTTTTGCTGAGCCTACCCAATATCCACTTTTCACAACTTTGATTACTGGCTACAAGAAAGATGTCCCAGCCTTCCAAAACCCCCATTCTCCCCAGAATCTGCTGGCAGATTGAGCTCCGGCATGCTATTTAATTGTGTGACCTGCTCTCCCCTGATCTGTGCAAGCATCTCTGTATCCTTTCGGTCTTCATATCTGCACCGCCCAAAGCAGCCCTCATACATGCAGAAGGTCTGACAGGGTTCTCTCCACGTCCACTCCAGCATGTAAAGAGAACAGGAGTATTTCAGGAAGGACAAGGACATGACTCCATCAGTGCAAAATGTCAAATGGGATTATCAATACGTTGAGTCTTATAGGCTGAGCCACCAGAAATAAACTTGATGGAAAAGGTTCACTAACCTCCTTTCAAAGATTAAGGGATTGCTGCGTGTTACGAAAGGACGGCTTGGGCATTTGCTGTGCAAATGTTGGCGCAGCCCTCCTGAATGCGCCGTGTTCAGACTTCTCACATGCTCTGTGATTTCCTTTGGTTTCTCTCTGTACGAGGCAACCGGGAATTGCGTTCAGAATGAGTCCATTTATGATCAGGCTTCAAGTTTTGCCCAAGTCGAGGTCATTCTCCCCCTGGTCATAAAGCAAAATGTATTTCTTCTTAAGACTTCATAGGCACTTCCAGGGTCCTTTCTATCTTTGGAATATAATTGGAAGCTTTGAAGCCTTGAAAAGCCAACCTGTTCCCTTCATAAAAAATGCTAACCACCTGTGCCCATGGACGGAGAGCACCTGAATGCTGCACTGGATTTTTCCCCCCCAACTCAGAAGAGAACCATTACGATTTAGAGAGGAAATTCAGGATGGCAAAATCCACCAGAGAAATTGTGCTCATCGAAACAGGCTAGGGCCTGCATGTGTTCAGATAAATCATTTAGGATTTTGTAAATAATGCTGCAGCCTTTACATCGCAGGGCTGGTGTGGGATCTGGGCAGAGCCAAGTAGGCCAGCAAGGGAGTGGGGAGGCCGTGCTAATTTCCCTATCAGCTTAAGGGATCGATCTCAGCAAGAATCTTTTATTCTGATAATGGAATTCCGTACGTGCTAAACACATCGAAGAAAGTATTAAAAGCAAGGAAACAAGTAGTCTCCTCCTCGTTCCGAAACTAACGGTGGGGGAGTGTTCTGCCAGCCTCTCTGGTGGCTTCCTTCGAAACTGTTGATCTTAGTTCAAGTGCACAATCGGAGACCCAGCTACACCTCACGCCTCCAGACTCTTCCCAAGGCCACCTGGCGGGCCAGGTTGATCTGACCATCTAAACTTGCTGGCTTCTAAATATTTCAGTAACACCTGGTGTTCACGTGGAAGTAGAGGAAATGAGGAGGGAGTACATCGCTCCCCGCTTAGTGACTGCTTCTTCGGGGTTCTATCTCTTTATCAGCTCTTGCCTGAGATTTTGCCCAAATTCAACCTTGACTGTGGGATGAATATGAACAGATAACCCCTGGCCTAACAGCCCCATCAGATCCACCTCGAGAGTGACCCCCTAGACTGGCAGAGTGAGGGTTTTGCAGGAAGTGGGTGTGAAGGCCCCCCGAGTTCCCGCCTGGTTGCCCCGGATGCTGCCGGACAGACTCGAAGGAGCCCCAAGGGAGGTAAATTGTTTGCCCTCCTTTCTTGCTCCCCTAGGGAAGGAAGAAAACCCCCAATTCGAAGCAGTTCGTGGAACTGTGAAGGTTCTAGGAACTTCATATGTAGACTTCAATTGATGACTATCTCTGAAGTCAGGAGCCTTTGTTAAAAATTCTGTGCGACGGGGAGGGTGAGGGGTGGAAGACGGGACTCGGGGGAGGAAGAGGAAGGAGGAAGCCCTTGCCATATAAAATGCATGCAGACTAAACAGTTGCCCTGGCAGAATAAATAAAGCGGATGCTGCCCCGCTCCAGAATCAAAAGCAATTTAATTAAAGTCTCTTAAGTTGTAAAGAGTTTTAAATGTTCCACGTTGAAGACGAATGCCTACAAATGCAGCGGGCTTGACGTCAGCTGTCAGGCTGGGGCTGGGAGGCCATTTGCTATTCTGTTTAAGGCAGGCTGGATTGTCTTATTTTGGAACCAGCTTGGTGGGGGTTTGCTTTGCTACTGCTTCTGAGCCCTGAGCTTCAAAGGCTGAAATTAATGGTGAACAAAATTGTGCGGCTCTGGCCATCCCATGCGGGGCAAGCCCATTGAGGGTTATCATTAAGTAAAGAAATAAAGAGGGAGAAAAAAGCCTGCCTGTTCCAAAAACCTCATCAGATAATGACCTCAGTGATTGGATTTTCATTACCAAACAGCATCCAGAGATTATCTACTCCATAGACGAAGGGAGGGGGGGAGAAAAAAAAGAAAGGAAAGCAACTGTCTTTCTCGTCCTCCCCTCTCTCCTCTTTTCTTTTTCTTTCTTTCTTTCTTTCTTTTTTGCACATCTTTTCTTTAAAACTGTCAGATCATTTCAGTATTTCAAATCCGAGGAAAACAGCCTGCCTGCTGCTGTATTTGAAGTTGTAATGGTGTCAAAAAGTCACGACTGACTGACAGCCGTCAGTCCCAGAGGGGCTCATTAAATCATAAAAACTTGACAAGGAAATAATTGCGCATCGCCAGCAACTTGGCGCCTGTTTAGGCGTTTTTATTTTCTTTCATTATTAGTCCCCACCATTACGTTCATTAACAAATTGCATTAAACAACTGTTAAGGGCTAATGATTTGTTTATCGCTTTTTTTTATTATTATTATTTAAACATTAGCTGTGTCATGTGGTACCCCAGCAGCCTCTTGCCATCATCCGACTGAATATTTTTCCACTCCGAGCTCTGGGTACTGTTGGAATATGAAATAGATTATTCATTACTCTCCTCTTTGCCACTGATTTGGTTTCATGTAGCGTCTTCCACAGAGAAAGATGAAAACTTGTCAAAGATAGGTTATATCTTATTCGAAGGGGCAACAATACCAGCAGGTACAGGCACACTTTAATATTTAATTAAGGTTGGTGTTAACCCCTTTAAATGACTTTAGCTGTAAGTCCCATTCAAATGCAGAAGAGAAAAATAATTGTTCTTAATTTGCAACCTGTTCAGCAGGCATTCTTCATGGAGTTAGCCGGAAATTTGAGCAGAGTTTTTAGATAATGAAATTTCCCATCATAAATATTTATAGCCGTTTGTCTACGTAGTTAAGAATTAACCACCAGCAATGATTTCCTCATCTCTTTGGTTTGAACTGCCAGCCGAGTGGGGCTCCCGGTGCTTGGGAGTGGACATGGCTTTCCTGGGAGAGATGTGTATGCAGAGCCAAGGACTCTTGGTTGGTTGTGGCTGGGGCTGGTTTCCAAGGAACTGCTCCTAGTGTCCCGTCTCTGGTCCACTTGCCTCCCCCTTTAGCTGAGTGTGTGGTTGGAGGACTGTGGTCTGGAGGGAAAGTAAGTAGGGACTTCTCAAAGGAACACTTGTGTGTCCATAGCTGGTGCTGGGAGGGTGTGATGGAGGAGCGTCTGGGCCATCTCTGTGTAGTCAACAAGCCCACTGCAAACAGTGCTTCCCTAGCAGACAACAGAAACAGCGCTTTCCTGGGACTGACCTTCCACCTCTTGTCCTTTCTGTGACTTGCCATTGGTGAAATGATTGGCTTTTCCGTGGGCTGTGAGCTTGAGGGGAAAAGTTCCTTCATCATCCTCCTCCTGAGTCAGAAGTCAGTGGCATCGTCCATCCTGTCACTGTGTCTGGTCATCCTATTTGATTCAATGAGTTCATATAAGCTTGGAAGCCATTCTTAGAAGCCTGGCTCATGGGCACTTCAGGGCTGAGGTGTGCAGGACAATATCAGGGAATGGGGAGCACTTTTCTCCCAGCCCCTTTCTACTCCCACCTACCCATCCCCAGAGAGACCAGGCTCCTTGGGCAGCTACTCCATAGATGAAGGGGAGAGATGGTACATGTTCCTTGTCCAGCACAGCATCTCTCAGCATCACTCACTAAGGACAGGCAGCCCTTCAGGATGCACAGGAGGGGCCAGTCCAGCAGGTGTGAGCCAGGGGAGGCCTGGCCTCAAGCCTCATCAATCACTGTGGCCTTAGAAATGGCAGACACACCAGGGTCTGAGGGGTCTCAAGCCTCTGTTTCAGTCCACTCCAAATTAGCCACATGACAACTTGCCACCTTTGGAATGGACTCCACATCTCACCAAAAGGCTTGCCCAGAATCATTCTTCCAGAAGGAAGGACGGCTCTGTGGTGAGCCACACCTCCAGTGCGACTCCCAGAGACACTGGTCGAGGTACTGCCTGAGACATGAAGCCAGCCTTCAAATATGATCCCACTCTATGCTGTACCTCACTAACCTTAAACTAAACCCCAGGAAACACTTTGGTTTATATGGCTTCACTCTGCCTACAGCCCATTGGACACAAACCAGTGGCATCTGCGAGAAGCCGCCCTCATTATGTGACTAGTTAGGTGGCTCTTAGACAAGATGTCAGCCTTTTCAGAATGGGGCAGGTGACTGTGGACACAGTCAGCCCAGAAAAGTTCTTAAAGCCACAGGTACTGCACCCAAGAAGGGAGACACTGAAGGGAACCAAGAGCAGCCAGATGCAGGCAGGAGAATAGCATGTGTGATTGGAGCCAAGGCTGGATACAGGGTCCTGAAAACAGTGATGCAGCCATTCCAACAGGAGGGTCAGTGTCCTCTCCTGCTGTGGAGGAGGGAAGACATGGGGAGTGCTGAGAGAGACTGTCCAGGTTCATTAGGAGTCCAGGTTAGTAGCGAGGTGAACGTTCCAGAGCTGGCTTACCATAGGCAAGTAGGGCAAAAACAAGATGATGGGGGAAACCAAGATGGCAGGACGGGAACGTATGAGGTTGGGAGTATATAAGGAGGTAAGGAACAGACGGTGTGCAGGTTAAGGGTGGATCCCCAGCACCAGGGAACAAGAGATGGTTGGGGGTGCTCTTCCTGGGGAATAGCCAAGAGGGAGGGATGCAGGCAAGTAGGCCCCACTTTGTGCCACCCCGAGCCTGTCATCGCCCTCCTTCAGAAGCAGCCAGAGGAGAGGAAAGGCAGGGCTCATGTTGCCCGGGACCCCAGCCCAAATCACACTCAACCTCAGTTGCTGAGCCCCGCGGGGCTCCCAGCATGCTGTGGGGAGAGCACCTCTCCTGAATCACCTCGTTACTCGCGCTACATAAATAACGAGGGCATCACAGAGAGAGGGGGAAGTGCCGAGAAGCAGCGCTCCGGCCTGTGATTCTCTGAACTCCTGCACCCCTCCTTCCCTTCATCCAAACAAGGCCCTTTGGCGTGAATAATAGCTCAGCGGCCCGAAGCCCGTATTGATCGGCTGCACATGCTGCTCTGCTGAGAGCTGCCTGGAGTTTTCCTGGGGGCAGGACGCCCCGCTCCGCGCAGCCCGCCCCTCCCTCCCCCAGCCTCCCCCAGGTGTGCTCAGGAGGGGACAGGACCAGGGGGAGCCGAGGCCCTTCTCCAGCCGCTTTGTTGCCTCAACTTTTTTGTTTTTCACTTATGTTGTCGGGGAAAAGTACCTGAGTTGGAGAGAAATGTTTTTTGCATGCCGAGGCCCCACAGAGTTGAGAACGAACACATCCTCGGGCTTCAGCTTCTCTCTGGAAGGTTCTGCCAAAGACCCGGGCCACAGAGGCGCCCTCAGCTGACACTTACGGAGGCCTGCTGTATGCCCACCGTTGGGCCCGGCACTTTGGCATGCGGTACTGCATTTTCCTCTTAATTGTCCCTGTCTTACAACATCAGAGGGAGCGGAGCTGAGAATGTGGCTAGAAGCCCTCACCTCCTTGGGTCAGAAGTGCTGTTAAATTCAGTGGAGAAGCATAGGCTGTAGGCAGGTAGAGGCAGGGACCGAGGCCTGCCAGCCCCACCCCCCGAGGCTCCGCAACACTGTTCCCTTCCCTTGTTTGCTTCTTTTCTGGACACAGGAAGTAGCCGAGGCCTTGGCCCTCTGAAGGGTGTACAATTGTCAGGTCAGCCAGGACCCTGCATGGTGGCACCCTCCTGGCTGGTAAACACCCGAAATCCCACCTTTGCAGACTCCCTCCCTTGGTTACTGACCTTGAACCTCGGGGATTCATGTTCCCCTAGGTGGCTTCATCGGCCAGTGAGTGATCCCTCTGAGGGAACTGCCTGTGCCTGACCCTTTCCTGAGGGAGATTTTGGGTTTGGGGGGAGGAGTGCTTCACCACATGAGGGAGCAGTTAGCAGTCTTTGGAGGAAGGGGAAGGGATGGGGGCCTTGGTTCCCTGGGACCAGCTCCCTGGAGGCTTCTTCTGGCATCAGCTGCCCTTCTGGGTGATAGTGGGTTACCAGGACACAGCTTTACCCTGGAAGCCCCCACACACCTGGCCAGGGCCCTCAGCTGCTCAGGCAGACACGGGGCTTCTGGGAACACGTGGGCTCTGCCAAGGAGAGGTGACTGGTTGAGGGTCCTCTGGCCTCTCCCACAGTAGTGCCCTTGCTGAGAAGGATGACAGAGCAAGAAGGTGGGGTGGGGGTAGCACCATTGACCTTGGGGTCCAGCCAAGCTGCTCCAGCTTCCTGTCCGGGTCCTACTGAGGGTGACAGGCGGCCAAGGGCGCTGTGGTGCTCAATTTGACATTGGGGAGGAGCCCAGATGGATCACTTCTGCCCTGAAAACCTTTCCTGCAGACCTTTCCCACACTGCTCCATCCAGGGGTCTTGGCACAGCAGGACACTGACACCCTCCGTGTCTCTGCCTCATTTCCGTCTCCTCTTCATCCAAGCCCACCCCTCCCGAGAAATCACAGAGCCAGGAGAGCTAGGTGGCTGCCATGTGCTCAGTATTGCCCCCAGCAACTCTTCTAAATAATCAAACCTTCCCCTGTTTGAAGCATGAGAGGTATAATCAGATCGAATCGTCTAATCAATAAATATTTATTGAGCATCTACTATGTTCCAGGCCCTGAGGACACATGGTCAAGAAAACAGATAAGAAAACAGGGAATAATCCCACAGCCGTGGGCCCGGAGGTCAGAAAGCTGTGTTCACACCTGGGGTCTTGACTTGCGCTCTGATCTCAGGTGCCTGGAAATCACATTGTGATGCCCCTGTCTCTGCTGCTCCCATTGCTGCCCCTGAGATTGAAGCCCATCTCCACGAATTGCCCCCCTGCAGCAGGAGTAGGGCTGACACCTGCCTGCAGGCGGAGAGTCCCCATCAGCCCTGGCCCCTTGTTCAGGACCAGCCCAGGAGAGGCAGGGGACAGGAATGGGGACGGTTTAGCCTGGGCCTGACTTGGAGGCGTTTCTTTCTTTCTTTCTTTCTTTTTCCTGCTTATTAAATGATAAAGGTTTGACTTAGCAGGCAATCGGAAACCCAAAATATCATAAAAGGGGAAAAGTTGCCGAGTGGCTAAGAGGTGCACCACGGGAGTGTGGCCGGGCTGAGCAAATGGAGCAAGAGACGTTTTTCAAAGGCTTGTCTCTCCTTCTTCTCCTCTCTCTGTCCCCCATGCGGAAAGGGGAAAATAGAAGCAGAATTCCGATTTGGGCACGTGGGTGAGTTGGTCACCTCCCTCCACCTGCATCACCCCCACCACCCCAGACAGTGGAGACACTTTGATGTCTGGGCAATTGGGCATCCCGGCTTCCAGACGGGCCTCCCTGAGCTCCTTTGTGTTGGGAGATGAGACACATGGAGCTAAGGGAAGGGTCTTGAAATGAGGAAACGTGGGTCAGCGCCCCCTGAGCTCTGTGCTGGCTGCCTTGGTGACAGTTTGGATGGCAATAGCCAAGCTGAGCTCAGATTCATGGAGCCCTCACACTGTGCGAGCTTTAGGGGCCATTTAGACCAACCTGGTGGAGAAATGCAGCTCAGAGAGGGGATGACACTTGCTCAAGATCACCCAGCAAGTCAGTGACAGGGCCGGGGTGGATGTCAGGTCTTCAGCCTCTGGTCTGGCTTTTCTCTTCTGCATGAGGAAACACAACTTCAACCAGCTCCACATTCTGGAAGCCACAGCCCGGCCACGGAGACACTGGCCTCCTTAGTAGTGTTGGCCTCTGCACCACGGGGCTCATAGTCCTCAGCTGCATTTGTCTTTGCTGGTCGGTGCAAGGTAACCTCTTGAGAGCCACGAAATACAGTGCACAACTTTGACGATTCCGCACACATGTGAAATATTCTGATTTTGCACTTAAAATTGTGCAGTATCAAAGTGAATGGTACCATTTGTGCCAATAATTTAAATTTTTGATTTAATTTTGAAGGACAGTAAGTAGAAATTTTTAAACACCAGAAGAAGTTGAGAGAGAGAAAGACCAGGGAAGAAAGAAAACAGCATTTTTTCCTTTGCTTTCTGAATGAGGGGCTCCACGTTTTTGTTTTGCTCTGGATCTTGCACATTATGGAGCCAGTCCCGCCTGGATGAGTCACTGTCCCTCTCAGGCACCCATTTCCCTACCAGGAAACCAGGCCATTGGGTTGTGCTTCCCGCCCTTGCTCATGGACACATTAGGAACGTGCACTTGGATAAAATCCATGAAGGAGATTTAGAAACCAGAGTGTGGTGCCCACCCCAGGCCTTGGAGCCACAGTCCTTCTTTCTTAAACGGGAGTTCAGCCCCCATCATGTGGGTTTCACCACCATTGACAAGCCAGTCTCTCTCCCAGGGGTTCTCCCCAGGCATTATGTCCTAGAACTGAAGCCCCAGTCTAACCTCCCCCCATAGGTACAGAATAGAGGCCTCTGTGCCCAGAGAGATTGAATTTGGAATCCAAGCAAGTTGTGGAGTGGAAAGATATCAGCCAGCCCAAAGCTGAGCCTAACAGTGTGCAAAGACCACTTACTGATCTCTGCCCTCATCCGTCCTGTATCCAGTGAGACCCAGGATGTCAGAGCCTGGTAGGAGGCTCAGCAGCAGCACCAAGGAGGCTGGGTACCCAACCGGGTTTGGGTTGAGGGAGCATCTTAAGAATGGTAACAATCCTGCTTCTCATTACACTGCCGGGGGAAGAGATCCCAATTTCAGAATTGTTTCCAAAGCTATCATCACTCGGGGTTCGAAGTGCAGCGTCCAGTCTGCCTTGCCTGACGTTTGAGGACTCAGCTGTCCAAGGGCGGAATGGGTCCTGCCGTATTCTGTGAAAGTACTGTCACTTTAAGATAACATTTATGGAGTGAATGGATGAATGCATGAATGAGTGTTAGATCAAGTGGCCTCAGTCGCAGTCCAAAGAATAAAGCTCATACTCAACAGTGTCATTTCAGGAGAGAGGAAAACTTAGATGACCACCCCCACCCCCGCCCCCGCCTTCTTTTAAGGCTTTTCCTTGAGAGCGGGTGATCTGCCTATCGTTTTAAAGTTTGGGTTTTTTTCTAAGTTTATCTTATTTCACTTATTATCACATTTTGAGTGATGTCTTCTGGCTCCAGTTCAACTTCCTCCAGATAATTCATTAGGCCTGCGAGCTGCTCCAGAGTGGGATTAGAACCCGTGTAGTACATAGTCACTTTAAACTGAGATCTGCTAATTAATCGCTCTTCTCCGTGTAACTGAGCGATAGCGCTCCTTCCCCGAGGAATTGCAATTTCATGGTTCCTAATGATGCTGCGATTACATTATCTGGATCACTTAGACGGTGGGTGTCAGGAGCCTTGCTCGAAGCCCGTCTCGGGGATGGGGAGAAATCACTCCTAAAACCAAGGGGATGAGGAAAAGGAGTTCAAATGTCTGTTGCTAATTTTCATTAATGCACCGCTGTTTCTTACATCTCATTCAGGACTTAGTTTCAAGTTTCAACTTCCCGCAGCTCCACAAGCCCCCTTCTCGGAACCTCACTTTTCTTTCTCTCTCTCTAGTATTCACAGAGTTATTGTTTGTAAAAGTCTATTTATTTGCCGTATTCCACATAATAATTTATTTTCATTAGATTTCTTGGAAATGTGGTTCTACATATCGTTAGTACGAGTAATGCGTCTTGATTGTTATTTCCTTAACTAACTTGTATTATCTGAGGAGCTAAATAAAATGCCTAATTCCAAAGTCTGCTATGCCCGTCTTTTGCGTCTGGATCATTTCTCTTACCTCCCATTCCCTTTCTAACTGAACGGGAGTTATAAATCTTCAGTTCAGTGCTTTGTTACAATTTCTGTTTTGTGGCTATAGACATTGTCTTCTTTTTCTGATGATGAAACTTGGATCAGGTTCAAGGTTGCTTTTGAATACACGTTTTCTTCTTCTTCTTCTTTAATTGCACCAAGAGATGGCTTCGAAGAGGGATCACAGGCCGGCATGTGAGCTCTGGTTCCCTCACTGGTGAGTTGGGATGATCTGTAAGGTAGGGAAGATATTGGCCCCCCCAAGGACCCACAGGAGGAGTCAACGAGGTGACTGACCCACAGAAAGCACCACCAGTCATGAAACATCACCAGCCCCTTCGTCTTGATTAAATGAGCTGGTCTGTGACGTCTTGGTAGACAGATATGATTGAGGGTGGGGACTTTGCCATGCTTTTTGTTTCTTTAAAGATTCCTTATGATTATGGCCTTAAAATATGTCAGGAATGCCTTAGATTCATTTAAAAAGGAAGATACTCGTTTTTTCAATCCTTAAAAATATTCATTTAAAAACAGATTTTGAAATATTTTGAACACTAAATGTCAGACATGGCACCAAGGATTGGAAAACAGCATGCAACCACAAACCAGTCTCCACCTCACCCAGTGCTCATGGGCTGGTGCGGGAGACCCAGCAGTTGCCTGTCAATTACCTGCCACAGGAATTCGGTCACAGAGAGACCTTGGAGAGGTAGGCAGTCCGGACTGGGCTGATTTGAGCCTCTTCAATGCCAAGGTCAGAGCGTCCTGAAGGAAATTTAAAGACATGCTTAAAACACTGAAAAAAAGAAATTTGTTGATTCAGACTGAATGAATGAGTGGGAGATAACTTCTGTCATTCCAGATGATCTGCTCAGCCAAAATATCACCACCAGGAAGTGCCCCCCTAAATGGTCATTTGTTCCCATCCCAGGGCACAGGCACTGTGAATGGTGTGGGCAGGAAGACACATGGATCCCCATTTCTGCGGGACAGGAGTTAGCACCGTGACGTTGGGCTGAGCCACCGGCCACACCTGCTCTCACTAGAGCGGGTGCTTCCCAGTGTCGGTGCGTGGACCGCCTGCCTCGGAGGAGTCTCCTTTCACCCGGCTAATCCAGTCACCAGGACCCTCCCCTGTCTTTGGAGGAAGCAGAGCAGCTTCACAAGACTGGCCTCGTTTGGATGCACAGCACAATGAGTTGGTACCCACCCAGCCTGCAGCACCGATATTTCAAAACCTACAGTACACTAAACGTGAAACTTTTGTTCAAATTTCAAGGATTTTGATAGCCCAAGTGAATAGACACTGCCTATTGATTTTTCCCTTACAATGACTCTCGGATAACCTATTTTCTCATTTATTTTTAAAGACAGCTCATGAGATTTCATAGCATCCTGCCCAACCTCCTAATATCAAAATCCCTCCTTGACCCTGAAAATTGTAATTCTGCTATAGATCACAGCTGCTGAATATTACCTTTTACTAAGCTGGTTAAATAAAATATGTCCAAATCACCAGATCCCACAAGCCGTGGCCTGCAAGTATAATGACCGAGGGCTGAGGTTTTCCGCCGCTGCATGCCCGCCAGCCCAGCGCTCGGCTGGCCCAGCCGACACCAAAGTGTGGGGATCGAGAATTTCAGCTCCGGTTTGGAATTTAAGGAGGAGGAGAGAGAAAGGATGGCTCGGCTAGTCTTCACTGATTTTCTTGTAAAACTTTTACAAGGGAGACTCGAGCTGTTTGATGTGTTCTAGAAAATCCGATGCCCTCGGAGTCTGCAGCAGTGTGGCGGGGTTTTCTCCTGAGTGGAGGGAGGGGGGTACTTGATGTAGGGCAAGTTCAACCCCACCAAAGCCTTCCAGGCTGGTGGGTCAGACTGCACTCATGAGGTGGGGAAATACAACACGTGAAATGTGAAAACGACCCCCGACCCGGGATGTCTCGTTCTGCCACCGGCTGGCTGGCTGGAGCCCTTCCTTTGGCGGGAGGGGGCAATGGAGAATTTAGACCAAAAGGGCTTGCACCCCACCCGAGCCCTCTGTGGCCACTGTGAATTCAGGATCTCACCGGCGCTGAATTCGCTTTAACCAAAGGGCCCCACCCATCTCCCGGCCCCACGCCACTCAGAGGCTCCTCATGTCTGACTTTCTCTCTTTCTCAGAAGAATGAAGGGCAGCGTTGACCCAAGTAGGTTCTGAGGGAGTTTGGAATATTTCAAAGCCAACACTTAGATCAGAAGTCATGACCTCTGGCTTTCAGATTGTCCTCTTGTCTTACCTGGGCAGCCCCCACGTCCGATATGGTAATGTTTCCTGGAGAATCTCACTCATTATGGGTGAACAGAGTCTACAATGGCTCCGACTCAGCAGAAATGTGGCGTCTTCCTGCAGTGGCCACTGGAGCCCATTTGAATGCGGGAGCCCAGAGGCTCTTCTGCAGGCCTGTGGGGCTTGGTAGCTGCCCTCTCTCGCTGCTCAAGCCCTCCTATGACTGCTGGACCCGCTGCCTCCCCTGCAGGGCCGGCAGCCGGCCTTTGGCAGGTGACAGGTCCCATGAAACAGATGCAGAGAATCTGCTGATATCAGCAGAGGTGAGTCAGAGTGAGCAGGAAATTCTCCACCACAGAGAAATGAACAAACTACCCCCCAACCCCCAACCCAAGCTCCCATCAGGGTCTGTCAGGGGGTCAGAAGAGCTAACACAGGTTACCATCCTTTAAACACACCGTGTGCCGGGGATGACAAGCACGCAGCAGGATCACCTCCTTACCCCCACATTCCAGCCGACACTGCTAATCGAGCCTGGCCCTCCTTCGTCCCCTGAATCCTCTTCCCCCAGCACTCCCTGCAGCCTCTACTCATGAGTAGGAGTGGGATGCAATCTGTTCACCTCCAGCCCACCAAGTTTCCAGCCCCACATCACGCACATGCCCCTTCCTCTACCTGGAGGGTCCTTACATCCCCTCCCCTGGCAGCCTGCCTCTACTTCCTCAAGGTCCTATGCAAGTCCCTGTTTCCTTGAAGAGTTTTGCCAACCACCTTCCTCTTCCCTGCCTCGCCGGCCACTGCAGACTCAGGCAGAGGAGTAAGTGGCCAGGAGTGTGGCGACCTCTAAGTTCTGGCCCCAGCTTTGTTCTAAGCTAGCTGAATGACTGGACGACTCGCTTTCCTTCTTTACGCCTCTATTTCCCCATCTGTAGATTAATCATTAAAACTATGATCTCTAAGGTGGATCTCAACTCCTCCATTTTATGATGGAAATTCCCTTGCCACCATCCCACTCTTCAAACCATTTAATATCGCCCTTTGTCATCTCGTTACTTTCCTTCTGCACCCACGTGAGCTCCTGGAGGAGTTTCTCCCCCCACAACCCACCCCCACCGACCTGTATTTCTCCTGGGGGCATCACAGTGCCAGAAGCAGAGTCTTGGTACCGACTGGTGCATGTTCAATTCCTGTGATGCCGACCATCCCCAAGGAGGGATAGTCCCTGCAACGGTGAAGTGGCACCAAGCTAAGGATTGTTCCCAAGGGATAGACTCCCTCTTCTATCTCCCCAAGGGGCTTGGGAGCACCTGCTGGGAGCTCAGGACAGTGGGCCAATGAGAGGTAAGGGAGACAAGACGGCTCAGTACAGTGGCCAGGCCACTGCCCCACCCACCAGCTGTGTGAGCTGAAGCGAGGGAATCAACCTCCCCGCACCCCGGTTCCCTTCCCCGCAAGACAGGCATGGCCAGATGACCCGGGGTCAGGGCGGTGGTGTGAGGGCTAAAGGAGAGAACCATGCAGCGCACTCAGCTCTGGACCTGGGCGGTAGTGAGCGCTCAGTGACAGGAAGCAGTGATCTTGGTTCCAGGACTGGCTCCACCCTCCAGGCCACGGGTCTTCTCAGGAGACTGGTACCCAGGGGCTTGTTCTCTCCGTTCGAGGGAGCTGGCTGCCCACTCTGCGCCAGCCGCTGGACTAGGGAAATGAGTCTTCTTGGCCTAAAGGAGGAATTTGGAGCATCAAGCGCAGTAACAGGAGAAGGCCAGACAACGGGGTCCCAGTTCTGACAGTCAGATGGGCTACTTCCCCAACCGGACGCAGAGACACCACCCCACCCCCGACTGAGTTGTGATTGGCTCCATGCAAGGAACGCGCGCCATGGCAAAGGCAGAGCCCCCTGCCCCGTGGGCAGTGCCGCCTCCTCCGAGGAGATTGCCAGCTCCGGGGCAATAAATTTCAGCTCTTGTTACCACCTCTCCTTTCTCTTCCATCGCTCCCTCTTGATCTTCCCCTCTCTGCTGACAACAAGGTATGGTTGGCATTTAGTTGGGGATTTAAAACCAGGAGCATGTTGCCCTCCCTTCAGGCTGGAAGTTTGCTCCCTGGCTCCCAGAGGCCTCTCGAAGCTGGATGCTGGGTGAGCGCCAGGAGACTGGCTCCTGAAACCGGAAGGGGCCTGCATTGTGGGACCAAAATAGCAAACGTGCAACATGAGTCTCTTCGGAGGCCCTCAGCAGGCTGGCAGCTTCCGGGGGGTCCTCGGCGCAAGCCAACCCATGGATGCAAGCTGCAGTGGCTGTCACTGCCATTTGAGAGAGCCTTGCTATGTACACAACTCTTCTGTCCCTTGGCTAGATTAGTTCATCCAACTGAAAATGGACTTGAGCTATCCTTAGCAAAATAATTGCATGTCTGAGTCAAAGAAACCAAGCTTCTACACATCACTCGTGGGCTTCCTGCATGATTTAAATCTTCCCGTCTGGTGTTTGCGGCCCCTGGATCTGCCAGGACCAAAGGGACCCCTTTCCCATGGATGGCAACCACCCTCTCTCCCACTCCTGAAACCAGAATGCAGAGTTCTAGGATGTCACTTCTCTTCCTGGGTGGCTCCCAATTGACCACTTGTCAGCTTCCAAATTGTTTTCATTCTCTGGAAAACACAATGCACAAAAAAGC